TTTATTTGTGAACAAGGCTTGTGACCTTTCAGTCTTCAGTCTTCACGTAAAACATCACATGATAATAATGAGACACTTCTGTGACCTTTGGTGAACAATGAAAAGGGCAGACAGAAATGCAGTGAGAGAAAAACACGAGCTGGAAAGTGACGCAGGGAAGTTTGGAGTCTTTTAGTGCTGCAGGGGGCAGAGAGGGGATCTAAATTGTGTGCCTTGCTGAGGTTAACTGGCACGTTACACCTGGAAACATCTGCCGGTATTTTATAGTCTTGGTAACGTGCCTGTGTGTGTGTTAGCCATAGATTCTGTTTATGAGAACTCTGAAATTCAGAGCTGACAATTGCACAGACCTCACATCCACCTTAAGGAGTCTTTAAGGTTGGTGCATCTCGAGCATCGCTGGTGTAGTGGTATCATGCAAGATTCCCATTCTTGCGAGCTGGGTTCGATTCCCGGGCGATGCATTTTAAGGGTGGTGGTAGCTCACTTGGCAGAGTGAGTTGCGTACCAATTGGAAAATAAGGTCGATCAGTTCTCGACTCCTTCTCCTCATGCTGAAGTATCCTTGGGTAAGAAATCGAACTCTAAGCTTCCCCTGATGTGTCTGTATGTGCATTGACAAGAGTTTTGGAAAACTTAAGGTCGAGGTCACTGAGATTTGAACTGGTGTGAGCTTTTTAGTAGCACCTATGGTATTAATGTGAAAATCCTACATCACCTCGTTGAGGTAATGTGTTCACAAAGTGGGGTAAGGGGTAAAAAGGCGCTTCACGAAAGGTGATGATAGATGTTTCTGAATGGGATGAAGCATAATTAGATGTGGTTTTATTGTGTGACACAAGCACATTTATCAAATCATCTGTTGTGCATAATAATCTTAGAGGTATAAATGTCCTGCCTTGGTTTTAGGCTGCTTGTCAGTATTGTGTTGCGTGACTTTTCTGCCAAATCCTTAAATTTTAGCACTAACTGAAGAGTGGTAGAGATTTTCGCTGAGTTTTCACAGGGGACACCGGTGTTTGCGAGACAACTCACAGCAAGTCTGAGCAGCTGGCACAGTGATAGGCTGTGTACACTGGAGAGAGGAAGAGGGACAGTTTTAACAGCTCACTTAGCTCTTGTAACATCATCAAGTTGGCTCCGCTGAGGAACAACGGGGCTGGAAAAGCAGATGAGCAAACACCAATCGTAACCTTTCTTTTCTGGAAAATTACTACATGTTTGTGCATTTATCTAATCTATCTGCTATGCTTCCCATCACAGATTAAATGTATGTAATGAAATATAAATACTCTAAATACTTTAGAGCACAGTGATGTGAGAATTATTTAGCCCTCTCTGGAATTAACAGAAAGAGTCTCACCTTCAGCTAACAAGAAATGACATTCATGTTTTTGACCACAAAAACAGCTGCTGTCATTCTATTCTAGAAAAAGAATAGGAAACAGTTAGTAAGCATTGAGCTATTTCTTCTACTTCTTCTTCTTCTTCTTCTTTTTGCTTTATAATGAGATATCATACTGTTAAAAATGCTCAAACATTCCTCAGAGATGTTGGTCCAGGCTGACATGACAGCATCATGCAGTTGCTGCTCATTTGTCAGCTGCACGTCCATGATGCAAATCTCTCGATGCACCACATCCCAAAGGTACTCTATTGGACTGAAGTATGGCAACTGTGGAGGCCACTTGAGCACGGTGTACCCACTGTTATATTCAAGAAACCAGCTTGATTTGAGTTAAGCTATGTGAGATGGTGTGTTATCCAGCTGGAAGCAGACTTTAATAGATGTATACACTATACATGGTCAGCAACAATACCCATGTATGATGTGCTGTTTAAAACTAGTTCTAAGATGGCCAAAGTGTGTCCTCACACTTTTTAAGACAGGACAGACGCATGCTTTCATGTTGCTTCTGACTCAACCGTCACAGCAGAAGTTTGACTCATTAGAACAGGCAACAATTTTCCAACAACCGTGCCACATTTAGAGTCACAGGCCTTGTGAAGCAGGGAAATACTGACTCCCTTTCTTTTACCATCGTATTCTCCCCAGCTGTTCTGCGGTGATTCTCCAACATTTTATTGGAGAGTGTGCTTCCATTGTCGTTATGTTGATATACTCATTAAACCAGTAATATTGTTATAGCATACAAAGATATATAATATATGACTCTCATGGGTTTTCCTTATTGTTTCTGTTGGCCCTAAACGAAATACACTATATCAGTTTAATGTGACTCAAGAAAACCTCCTTTACAGTCTGTTTCATATGGGTTTGGAATCAGCGATGTGCACATTTTACCACCACTCAGTGTTTATCTTACAGGCTGTAATAGAATGATGGTTTGCAGAAGGGTATAAAATTTCAATCTTCTTCTCTTCTGGCCTAAATTAATTAGCTTGTTTGCCCTCTCTGAGAAACCATGCACAGTAAATATAGTAATCTTTGTTCCATAATTTGACTAAGCTGGCATCATGCTGTGTTCACTGCCTCTCAGAGAGCTTTTTCATTTACTTTGCTTCACCCTCCACTTGTATTTATGCTACTGGCTAAGATTTGATTACTTTTAAAACAAACACTCATATTTTTCGACTTGTTTTTGTTCTAGATTATACTATAAAACAATGGTCACCGGGAGACAGTTTTCATTCAGTCACTTTGCCAAATGATTTACCGAGTTTCTCAGCAATTTTCACAATTTTTGCAGTTTGTGGACAATAAAGAAATCCATGCTTCTAAAAATTCATCGTTTTTGTAGTCTGATCAGTTGGTAGATGATATACTGCATTTGATCTTTGATGTGTCAAAGAGGAAGCTGCAGGTGTATCCTGAGGGAGCCTGTGAAGTGACCAAATGTCCTTCCTGTATGCCAAGAGTGCCCTGTGGCAGATCATTGAGGCCCAAGGGGAAAGCAGCACTGGGTCAGTGACCATACATGTAGTTGTTGGTGTTAGCTGTTACTGAAGCTGAGCTGGATGACTTACTTTCATGAACTAATGAGCCCCATTTCTTAAATCAGCCCATCAGTGTGAGGATCCATGTGGTATCATGTCAGCTATGGTCTGCATTCCAACACACTGATTTGGAGATTCCCTGCACAAAGTTCACTTATGTTTGTGGCCAGAAAGAGTAAATCTGAGCAGGAGCACAGGGATGAAGACACTTCTGACTCACACTGGATCTTAAAGCATTCCATTAACTGGGTAAATCAAATAACCTCTGTGTGCTTCCTTGCATGTTTATGTAAATTGTAAATGGATAAAGTAAACATACTGGGGATTTTATTTTACTGAATTATTTTGTAGGTTTGCAGCAGTTCAGTATATTACACATTTTAAACATCATAGAGGCAGTAAAAAAATAAAACAAAACTGTGAATGTGGACTTACTCAGTCACCTTAAGTGCTTGGGTTGCTGGTTACTGTGCAACTGCTTTATTCTTCCGTGGCACATTTATGGGCGTTCCAGTCTTCTTAGTGAGCAGCGAGCAGGACCGCTCAGCAGATATGCACAAGCTCAGAAAGAGTGCTGCCACTTCCAGGAGGTGTTTGGAGCAGAGAATTAGTTGGAGATATCCAAGCTTTTTACAAAGCTCATTTATCATGTGATGGTCCTTAAGCACTGTGTAGACTGTAGAGAATACAGTGGCTCCAAGTCCATGGCCAAAATGATCAATAATGCCTTAGATAAAAGGCAGAAGTCTGCCTAACGAAGGAAGTCAGTGGTTACTAATTACATGTTACCACACAAAACTGCTTATTGGATACTTCAAGCCTTTTGCACTCATCACCAGATATGTGGAACTAATCTGCTAAGCATTTCAGAATACCAGCTTTATTCAAACATTTCAAATGACATTTTAAATGTAGTTGTTAAATTAGTTTGTTAAAATTCAGTAAAATTTACATTTTTAATTATTATTTCCAAACAGGAACAGTATGTGATAGAACTATGATTCCCTATCTTGATTTGTATTACAGCTGGATGTTAGGGGTATACACACTATTATTTTCTAACTTCTTGTAGCGATATCCTCTCAAATACATGATTTCTGTGGGTAGAAAATAGCTGCATTACATCAACATTCTTATATTTCTAAATGCAAGATAAAATGGGTGAACCTGGATCCAGCACAACTACAAATTATGAGTCTCACGAAGCCATTTGTGATTTCAGTGTAAAAGGAAATTAACACAAACAAACAACCTTCAAATAACATTTAAAAGAGTCAAATGAAAATCAACAGACACCAAAGGAAATGTCAAAAAATAAAACATGACTGTAGCTCTGAGTTTGGAGTAGATCTTTCTTTTTTTCTGATGTGACAGGAACTCTGGCTCTATATATTAGTGTAGAAACCACATTGTGGTTGCAAGGCTGCACTAGTGTCAGGTTGTTGTGCTCGTGTTAACATCTGACTGAGTTAACAAGTCTCAGAGTGTAAGAAAAAGAAGTCTGTCTAAAGTTTGCTTTACTCACCACTTGTGTCTTTTAGGATCTTACTCTAAACAATAATTAATATAAATGTTTTCTTACTTATCTAAAATGATAAACATAATGTGAGATCATTTTCCCAAGGGGCCACACCAATACACCGAACTCAGTTCTGCTCAATTTTATTTCTTTATGAGCCTATTGGTGCGGCCCTCTATAACCAGTTCCAGTTCCAGGCATCCTGGGAAACATTAATTGCCCATCCCTGAATAATTATTCCAAAATGAATCTAAAACTCAAACTCACCAGACAAGCTCTCCATGTGTCCACTAGATGGAGACTAAGAACCAAGAAAAATTCAAGATGCCGCAAAGAAAAAACATGTCTCCTTATGCTTAAATATCCGGGTATGAATTGTTCTTTTGTTCTGTCAGGTTCCTTGTTAATAGGGTTCTCTTTAAGCATCAGGTAAAAAAAAAAAAAAAAAATACTACTAGCCCCTGAAGCATTCGCTCTTGACTCAGTGGAGTTTTAACTCCCTTTCTGTCCCTCTTGGCTTCCCGTAGTCGTTCGCCAAAAAAAAAAAAAGTTTTCGCGTGAAGCCCAACCTGCTGAATGAAAAATGTCTCATTCCAACAGGTAAGAAACTTTTGGTGAATTTTACAGCCGCAACACTGTACACACGGTACAGCCGTGCGTGTATGAGTGGGGTCACCTTTATTTAACGCTGTCTTCTCAAGAGGAAACGTTTTTGCAACCTCACGTTTCGTTGCCATGACAACGTGTAACCGTGGGAGACGTTACCTTATTAAAAAAGTCACTTTTTTTTAAAGCTTTCTGCGCTGTTTTCATGCGAGGAGTAGCTGATTTTTTACATTACTAGATACCGAATGTCTCCCTGCCGTTTCTGGGATATCACAGTTATTATTATTATTATAATTATTGTTATTGTAGATTTCAACTAGATATCGTTATTATCTAACTAGCACATTTGGTTACAAGCGTCAAGTGTTAGGATTGAGGCTCTGTGTTAGATTAACTGGCAGTATAATGACAGAGGTTACACACCGAGCAGGACAATAATTTAACATTCATTTTAATGACCCGGTTATTCAATACTTTAGAGTAGTCGATGTTGAATGCGTGTTTCGTGCGGTTATAGTGACTATGTTTCTTGGCTCTTAACATTGTCCTCTTATTTTAAACCACCCGGCATTCCCTTTTAACTGCAGCCATTTTGACATGAAATAGTATTGTGTGCCAAAAAGTGATTACAGACGTTTCTGTGTGTTTTTTTAAAATGTCTAATGTCTGCTTATATTGGTAATTAGTAGTAGTAAACAGCATTTATGAATGGGTTCCATATAAAATAACGAAATGCCATGTTTTGTAAGTATCAAGGGCTGCTTAAAATATCTTTATAGAACTTTTATGTTATATTTGTTGAAATTTCTGCTGCCCTTTTGGTCAGATCTCTCTTTAAAAAAGACTTCTTTTTTTAGCTGGATATATAAAGTCACTTTGCAGTTTCTACTCGGCATTATCCATGTAAATGACCTGCTGAATTCTAATCGGCCAAACAACAATTTAAATGCTAGCACTTTTTTAGCAGGTGACATGAAACATAGATGCTACTAATAAGAAAAGCTTTAAATGATGTGATTAATAACACTTGTGTACTATTGTTGTCATATTGACTTATGTGAAACAGTCTGTGTAAAAGGGAGTAGTTTTAAGTGTCCTAAAACTTTATTTGGCCATAAAGAGGCCCACTGCTTCTTTTTTTTTTTAAAAAACAGATGAATACTGTAGAAGCTGTTATGACATTAGTATTTGACAGGTGGGGCCATTTGTGTATTCCAATATGAATGTGACTTTTCTCCGGCTTCTCATCGATGTAAATTTGAGGTGTTCTTGTTTCTGCACTGGCCTACATTTTCCTACACGTCTGCCACCCTAGCTTCCCAAGGCTGAACCCAGCAAGGGCAGAGATTAGCTTTAACCAGGATTAAACCAATGAGAAAATTTGAATTTGTTGGCCCTTATCTCCTAGCAACATGTGGAGAGCCCTGAGCAAATGGCAGAATTTGATCTTTTGCTTCCTTTTGGCAAAGCGTGTTTTCTTGCCAATAGACACTTATCAAACATGACCATTGAACACAGCAGGATTTTTTTTTTTGGGGGGGGGGGGGGGGGCGGCTTTAAAATGATTTGTTTATAGGAAAGCTGCATGCATTTCTTGTTTGCAGTGAGGGAGCAGCAACTTAGTTGCACCTCCATTTTATTTGTCAGTCTTGTTGTCCATCAGCTGCCAGGTACAGTGTAATTTTACTGCTCTTTAGTTAGTCTGGTGTGTGCTTTAATGGCTTAATGTTGTTGGTGTAGTGCATTTAGACCAGAAGCTTTGATTATCTCTGCATAATATTAGGATTCACTCCATAACTTAGTAGATGGGATATTCGCATTCTAAACATGCAATTTCTTGCCTCATCAGGTAATGTAATTCCACGCTTCATTAGGACTGTGAAGTTTATCATTTGTCATCAAAGCCAAGCTGTCAATAAATGATTAAGTTTCACATGAGTAAAATGTAATATTGGGGCCCGAGCAAAACGGATGGCAGTGTACATTTTAATTGCAGTTAGGAAGATTTTGTTTTTGTTTGATTTTCAGGCGATATTTAAGCAGCTGCTCGTTACAGCTAGAGGCAGTCCCGCAGAGCTTGAGTCCAACTTATTCCTACAGTTTATGCAATTAAAGAAACATGAACTTCTAAAGGCCTCAAACAATAATTGAAATGTGTAATATGTTATTGGTCTGGGCAAACAGAGAGGGCTAAGTGTTTTTCTGTGTGCTTACCAACATTTTTCACTTACATGCAATCTCATCAACCTTTAGTATGCTGCAGCTAATCTATACCAACTATTTCCAGTATTGACTGACTACAGTTAATAGATAACTAAATCTGTTGTTTAGTCTATAAGATCACAAAAACCATTATGTATATCATTTCCCACAGCAAGGGGCTATTCTTGCTTTTTATGTTCAGCAGAGTCCTTGCTTCATATGATTGACACTGATGGGTTAGAAAAACTACATGTACATGATCATGAATAAATGAAAGAAGAGCTGTTTTAAGTAGAGAAAAGTAGGAAAAGGTTTTAAATGAACCCTTATGTGTCTTTTCTCTTTGCTTGTTATAGCATGCTTATATTTGGAAAACATTTGTATATTTAGTTAATTATGTAAATAAGCTGAAATTGCTGTCTGACAGAATGATGAAGAGGTGGGACAAGTAGGGGCTTGACCTGGGGCTCTAATTACTACCTCCTGAACCTGGAGATGAGACCAAATTCAATATAAAAGGGTGTACTGATGTTTGCTCACCCGTCAGTGTGTCTGTGGTTGAAAACAGACTTGTTATTTGTACCATCACTGCAATTCCTTCCTCACTGGCTCTAGTTAATAATTATGTGTATTTTCTTGGGTCAGTGCTATAGAGATTGGAAAGAAGATCCATACATAGATTTTGGTGGTACTCCAGCACTTTCTTAATCAAGTCAAGAAAAGGAAAATAAGGAGTCTAGCCTTCAGGGAGGTTTCAAAATTTCGCATTTTGTAAGTACTGATGTAGGGGTAGCTGGAAGGAAGACGTAGCCTTAATGGAAAACATTTTAGGTACACAGGTGGCACAGGGGCACACTTCTTCCCCACCACTGCAGAGTGGTTCAAATCCCAATTGTATTTCCAGCAATTTGGTCATGCAACAAACACAAGTGGCCATGCTTTGCAAGCCACTAAATGACCATGTCTTTGCCACTCCATTAGCAATTCTTCAGTGTTGTCAGTGGCTGTTTCACTAAAGAGCACAACCTCTCAGTGAATTTCCTCAATGGAGGCAATTTGTAGCTTTTGTCAGATGCATTTATGTTTTACATTTAAAAAAAATCTTGATGGGAGAGGTGGCGGTACAGTGCTTGTCTTTACTTTAATTCTCTTCGGTTCTTTTCTTTGCTCCTTTAAGGCCCTTAGTTTGGGTTTGTGGTGGGGCACAAGAAGAGTAGAATTGTTTTTGACTTTAAGTTTAAAAAAACAAACAGATTTAAGTAAGTCATGCATTTCAATTGAATTGTTAGAATCACAGGTATAGATATTCTAGATAGGCACACAAGGCTTAAAGCAATTCAAGACCTGTGTCTGTGACCCTTTTAAGGTCAGACCTCTCACCCTAACCTGAACATGAACTTGATATCCTATTTCCTTTGCATCAGAGATCTGGGGCCAAGGACCAGTCACCTCTGTCTGGGAGATACCTGAGGAGCTGAGACCCTCCTCCAGTCTCCTCAAGTCCTCAGTGATACACTCATCACATGCTGCTGTCTCCACAAATGAGCTATGATTGAGGTGACTGGAATTTCCAGAGGCTGTCACAATCATTTTGATTGGAAAATAGACAGGAGAAAATGGGAGAGACAGGCCTGTTATGAGAGCCCTGTCAGGGCTAAAATAATGCATCAGAGTGAAGAGGTTAAAGACACCACTTCCTTGTTAATAATTAATTGCTGTGCGTGTGGTGGATCCACTTCATCGCTCCCAGTCATCACTTGATAATTGCTTTACATTTAATTTGGCTTTAGAGACTGTTTTTCAAGCTGGGTAAATTGTGCTTAAAGTGAATATGGGCTCAGACAGAGACAAGAGTTTGGTCATAAACCATAAACCAGAAAAAAAGGCGACAACTTAGACTGGGAGAAGTAAAGTTTTAGTAATTCTGTACACTATTTGAACACCAGACTTTTGGAATTAAAGTCATTAGAAAACTTTTAAAAATGTCTACAGCATTAGTAGCTGAAGCTTAAAAAATAAACGTAATCGTTGACACTTGCTTGAAACTAGCAGTGATAATTTCTTGTGTTGGAGAATATTTATGTGTCTCTCAGCATTTCCTTATTTTTAAGCCTTCTTACCATGACACATGTAATGCCTTAGGGTTTAGAAACATGGTTGCCAAGGATTGATTGGGCTGTAATGATTAGGAATGATGGCAAACTGGATCATGAAGGAAAGCTATTACTTTTCTTGACTGACTAGAAGATGAAAAATAATCTTGTTATGATGTTGGGATTATAAGATAAAACAATATAAAAATCACTTTGCTTTTTTTATTTGTTTTAGAAAAACCTGCTGTAATACCAATATTTGACAAATTTGACAGATTTTAGTATTTTAAAAAAATTGATTAGCCAAAGGATTACAGCTACTCGTCAGTTAAGAATGAATTTTTTTATACGCATGCCAATTCAAGAAAGATTATGACTGCCTTCTCCTTCCTTCTGTAGATGACAAAAGGAGATGTTAGTGGACTAGATATGAACCTGAAGTCTGTGCGGACCAGTAGATGCACGTCGGAGAGGAATGTGCTAGATATACGGCTGAAAAATGATGGAGACATCAGGGTATGTTGATCCTGTAACACGATCCCACTGACAAAGTAAAGCCTAGTCTTTGATGACGTCTGTTTTACACACTATGTGCAGCATTAGAAAACCAAACTCCACTTTGCTGCTGTATAGCCTCCTTCATTGGTTAATTTCACTGCTCACTTTTCTAAATCCAAAGCAGCCAGTGCTCAGTCTTGCGTGCACACAGATAACAATCAAGTTAATTAGACCTGAGATTGAGCGAACTGCAGCAGCAACTTAATCATTTGTAACTTGATTAAAAATACTATATTCTGCGGCTCCAGAGACTGGTGTGTTTTTTTTCCTTCAGAGGGCTTCACAACTTTGCAATTCAGGTCTTAAGTTAGGACATAATGTTTTTGAAAAACAACAGTGAAATGATCCTGAGGTCTTCAACACCTGCTCGGGGGAAATCCTCTGCTGTATATGACTGACGGTGAACAGATGGATATTACAAATGTATTAATGTTTTCTAGTATTTTTGTGCCCATAGGAAATTTATAAATTTGAAAATAAATTGGGTCAAGGTGCCTTTGGAGTTGTTTATGAAGCCACCCACATAGAGACACAGACAAAATGGGCCATTAAGACGTTTTGCAGACCACCGGTGAGTGTGTTTGGCATCCCTCGAGGAAGCCTGTTTTTTAATGTGTTTAAAAAGTTGCACTAATAAGGGAAGTTTATATTTGGAGGGTAACAAATCCAGCTGTGATTTGACTTTCTGTTGCATTAGGCAGGAAGTTCGAAAGTAGAAATGGTGGATAACGAAATAAACCTTCTCAAACAAATGAATCATGCGCACATAATACATCTTGAGGCAGTCTACCGCTCGACCACGGTAAGCGTTGCTATCCTTTAAATCACAAACTCAAAATTAGCATAATTAAGTGAGTGGGTGAATGTAATGCATGTAACATATCACTGTGTCTATTGCTGCATGCCGCTCTGCATAAATATTACTGATGAACACACAAATTGACTGTATAGTAAGATGCATTTATCTTCTCGTTTCTAGATGATTTATTTGGTTACTGAGCTGTGCAAAGGGGGTGATCTGAGGGAGCTGTTGCAGCGGAAAAAGTTCTTCACAGAGGACGAGACGAGGGATATAATCTGTAGTTTAGCTGATGCTGTTGTGCACCTTCATAAAAGAGGTAACGTCATTTTCTAGATTGATCTAATCTATGCTAATTATACTGTCAAAAATGTAGTTCAGCCTGTGTTTTGAATGAATTGTGCTTCAGTTAATTTATACTGGTGCTATAATGCCATTATTGTATTCAAATTGTTTTTGCCCTCAATGATGTGATATTCCTTGCCATTAGGGCTTTCAGTCACTGTAGCAAGGTGTCTTATTTTGATAAAATGGCAGTAATGCCCAGCTGCCAGGAAATAAACATTTTAATTAAACCATTTATTTGGAAATGCTGTTTCCCCTTTGGTAAAATCTGAGGTTAGAGGTAATTTAGGACAGTTCTTGGTAATGAGGCATCATTTCATGTGGCTAATGACTAATGTAGAACAAACTAGGGAACAATACTAATTAACAGGAGTTTTTCACATGGAAAGTCCTTTTGTGGTGGTGTTCTTCGGCTTCATTTTTATTAATGATAGTAATGAGAATGAGTTCTCCAGAAACCTTTCTTTGTCAAATGACAAGTTGCATAACTTGGCTTAAATTTGTAGATCACATTTTTTCTGACGCCCCTTAATGTACCATCGGCACATTAAGGGGCGTCCACACAGGAAGTGATTCGCTTGTCGCTAGCGGACATACCAGGCTCTGATTGTCTAGGAAACACTCTAGTGCAGGGGTGGGCAATTATTGCTCCCCATGGGCCACATGAGAAACTGGGACTGTTGGGGTGGGCCACGCCAATAAGCTTCTGAAGATATAAAGTTAATATTGAGCAGAGTTTAGTTCATCTTATTGGTGCGACTGTCCAAAACTGTCCCAGTTTCTCATGTTGCCCCTTGGAAAAAGTAATTGCCCACTGCCTGCCTCGAATGAATTACCCCTCATATGTCAGTCAGTGGTATGCTTCTGTCTTATTGGTAGTCTCCTCAATCACTCGCTTTGAAGCTGAGAAAATTTTAACAAATAAGCTGCCCACTTCACCTCAGCAGTGGTCTCTGGTTCCTGCATCACTGGTAGTTGCTTGCTGTGTGGATCTGTGAACTGTATTGTTCCTTATTGTTCTTATTCCTTAATGGAATTAAATGCACCAAACCTTATATTGTGTAGTTTATAGTTCGAAATTCATTTCTTTGCACTAGTATTTCATTAAGTAACTAGAAAAAAAGCAGAACTAAGTAGTGTATTTAACAACTGGTACTTCTGTTTTAGTGTGTGTATAATTGTTACGTAACTGAAAAAAGAAATTGAGAGTTCAGGTGACAGAAAGCACTTTAAAGAAAAATAATTACCATACCAAAAAAATGTTAAATAGACAAAAGAAAAAAAAACATTTTCAGGTGTTTGTTTTGGGCACATCATTTGTTCTAACTTACCTTTCACACACCATCAGCACTGTTGCATTGTATAATTGGTTGCTTCAAATAGTGCACTGAATAGGACTGCCCAGGGCAAATTGTATTTTTCCTCCTGCCTTCCCTCTCTGTGCTAAGTTAACAAGGCCCTTCAGCTGGTCTGCTGTAAGCAGGAAAAACATAACTGTGTTAGCATGTATGGAACATGTAATTTATTCTAGTGACTGACCATAAAGTTATACCTTGATGAAAGGCTACATATGTATTTTTCTCTTGTTCGCTTCTTCAATTCTTGGCTTATAATTCAACACAAGAAGTCAAAATATTAACATAAAGGTTTTGTCATGTTCCACTGGCCCAGCCCATGAATCTGCTTAGTTAAGTTAGTATTTATAACCCCCTTTGGGGACATTTGCCCCCTGCTTTACTAGCATTAACTACTTAGAAAATGCAGGTAACCTCCAAAATGCAGCCATATTTTTGTTTTTGCTTTTTGCACAGGTAATATTACAATAATTATGTTGGGATTGATGTTTTATCTATGACTCATGAAAAGTTAAATAGTTATCACTGGTCTCATCATTAAGCAACCACTGGTCTACTTCTAATTTTTTTAAAAAAATGATTGAGATATTTATTGCAGCACCTAATCCTGTAAATATATATAAAAATATTTGAAGCTTTTATGTCCGTGTAAAATTTCCTGTTTCTTCACATCCTACAGATATTGTACACAGGGACTTGAAACTTGAGAACATTCTTGTGAAAAATTCTCCTGATAAGGATGGTGACAAAATCGATGTCAAGGTAAAATGTTGAACCAAACTGAGAGCTTTCCATAAATGCATCTTATCCATTCTCTGCCACACTGAGAAAAAGCCTCAAATAGGCGCCTTCTCCTCGCCCACTGTCTCCTCTATAGTTAGTAAAGGCTTTAAATACTATCTCATTATGATAGTCTCCCTCTGGTCTTCCTTTATAGTCCACCTTTACAAATGGAGTCTAAACTGCGTCTTTAAACAGATGACATGCTGAGCACAGCATGTTGCTTGTATTGATGGCGAGCCAGACAAAGCAGATACCTGGTGTATGAGTTAAAACAAGGCCAGGATTGTCTTTGTCTTTGGCTGCACATACACTAACACACTTATAGTACATGTTGTTAGAAAGTTTTGTCATAGCAGAGCATAAATTGTTTTTCAGAGTAGTTTCTTTTTTTAAAACTTTGCAAGTATTGCGATTTTTTTTTTCCCCTAGAAAAATTCTGTATAGTGTCGGCTTGTATTGATGTTACTTGCCTAGCTCCTTACTGAAGCACCTTTAACAAAGAATCTAATATGGATTTTGTCAGCATGACTGAATCATGTTTATTTGTGACACCTTTTTCCTAAGTGCTGTTCTCCACCTAGGTGGCAGACTTTGGATTATCGGTGAAGACAGGTGGTGTCGGGATCGAAAACATAATGACACACGCCTGTGGGACCCTTATCTATATGGGTAAGATATTTGGATCTTCTGCAGCATGCTAGTTGACCAACACGATGACAGTGCGGATGAACAGAGTAGCAGAGATCACTCCTGTTTTTGATTCTACCACTGAGGGCGCCAAAGTATTTTTATGACATTTTTAAGTTTAAATACAGACCGCAAAATTCATAAATGGACTGTAAAATGCTGTTTTTGTTTTTATATAAAAAGTATATTGTTAAATGTTATGACTAAATATGCTATTATATACTTATATCTACAATGCAGTGTAAAAGCTATTAGTCCTTGTGAAAAAACCAGTAAAGTGGTCATGCTTTCAAAAGTAATATTTATCTTTTAACTTAACGGGATACAAACTGTGGTGTCCCTATGCCTTTAAAAAGTACCGATTCTTCTACAGGCAGATTTTCACTTTAACTGTTTGTAAAAGTTGGAATAAAGTTATTGCCAGTCTTTCAGTGAATTTATGCTTCCTCAGCTGCCACTTTCTCTTTGGTAATCCTTGACTTACTCTGTGATACTAAGATCAGCGTTTTCTGGGATTGTGTCCCTTCATTCCTTTTATTATCAAAGATATTAGGAGAATTTTTATCTTTAGAACTTTGGTTGTACGTTTGAGGTACTCAGTCTGGGACAAATTAAATTTATTCTTGATGATGTTTAATGCCAGGACTTCTCAGGTCCTTGTTAACACTCAGACGACTAAACTGCCTCCTCTTGGAGCCAAATATTTCAGGTTATGACTTGTCCCAAAGCACCTGCTCTTCCATTTCTGCACCCCACATCTCGTGTTTTTCTGCATACGTGAGTTAACTTGGCTTTGTCTTTACATCAGAGGATTGGCTATTTGGCTGGAAGTCTTCCATGACGGCAATGCTGGAAAATCCTCAGATTGTAATGTTAACTTAATGCATCAATTGTTTGCTGCACTCTATTTCCTTGGCTTGCCTCTTTGTTTTGAACCGTAACCGTTTCTGTGTGGTTCTACAGATGATCTTGGACTACACGTCCAGAAAAACCTGTTTGCCACAAAATGTTGGCCTGTGAGAGACCAAGCATTGCAGGCTGACCACCTTCTGTCTTCCTGCTGAGGCTCATTTTGTTTCACGGTTAAAGATTTTTAGCTCGAACTGTCACTGTTTCAGAATCCTTACCTTTTTATTATGTCAGGGTATCAGCCACTTTAATCCTTCCTACACAGCTGTTTCTGTTACAGTTAATGGTTTTGGTTTAGCCACGTTAATGATTTGATTCATTAGCACCTGTTTGGTATAATTGTTCAATTATGTGCTGGGCTATATGCCTGCAAATTCCTTCTGTCATTTTGTTACTTTCTCAGCATATAAATATGTCTCTGGAGTGTTTCATGGTTGCACAAAGGATGTTTTGTAGATCCAGCATATAATTTAAAATACATTACAAAAGATATAAATCATTATATATTAAAAATATATAATAATATATTCAAAAGATGAGCCTCCTCCACCTTTATGTATTCATCTCTAACTTTTATGGCTCATTACTACCTCTAACTGTGGTTTTGCACTTTCACCTTGTGTGTCACTCAGCTTGCATGTGTATGTGTCCTTGCAAATATGGTGACAAAACATAACACACACATTATTATAGTGTTAACTTATTGAAATGGGGCTCAGCAGCACTGCTGGTGCAAAAAAACATCATTTAACAAAGTGGTTTTCCACCACAAATTTCTGTAGCTCATGCAGACCAAGTCATACATTTGTGCATTTGTGTTGTTGCCAGCCCCTGAAATGATGAGCGGTCGAGGTTATACCCAGTGGTGCGACGTGTGGAGCATAGGAGTCATTATGTATATGTTGTAAGTAGGCGCACACGTACTATTTTTATACATGTACACGATTCATGAGTGCACATGTCTGAGGTATGTGTCCCTGTAGACTGTGTGGAGAACCTCCATTTGTCTCCAAAACAAGGAAAAACCTACTTAAGAAGATAATGAACACTGGAGTCAAATTTTCTCAACCCATCTGGGCCTCAGTCAGTGATGCAGGTAACACTTCATGATCTTAATCACATTCTTATGGTAATATAAAGTAGCAGCGCAAATGCTTCATATGTGCAGTTTTACTGGGCAGGTTGGTATTACGAACACTCACTGATCATCTTGAGTCTGTCTCAACAGCTAAAAATCTTTTGACTTGCCTACTGAAGGTGGACCCCGCATACCGAATGTCTGCTAATCAGCTACTAGAGAACCCCTGGATTACAGTAAGGCACTTTCAGCATTCATGAACTTCAGATAAGTCGCATGAAGAGCTCTTACAGTGCGCTTTGTCAAACAGGGTGACTCTACTATGCCTGTTGTACCACCCAATGTGCTGGAGATGATGCGTCAGTACCTGGAGCAGGAAGAAAGTAATAATGAAGATTAAATTAAATCTTCCAAGTCATCACTTGATCATTTTGATTTTGATTTGATCACTTTATTAGTACTGTTGCTATCATTTGATAAGCTGTAGTTTAATATGCTGATTACTATATTCGAGTTCTCCTGATATATAATTGAGCAGACATGCAGGTCACAGTATAAATGGATCTGGAAAAGTTGCCAAATAAGGCCAAGGCAGTGATATTGACTTAGTAATGTAATATTTAAATGTGAGGCATTTGTTTTCATTTAGCATAGACTATAAAGAAACAGATGACAGTGATAAACCAAAGGCATGTGAATCTACCTAATGTAGATGTTGCTAAAAAACTTCCAAAACAGGAAATAAGACTTCAGAAGTTTCACCCTTCATCACTTCTGAGGCAAACCTGGACTCAGTCCCGGTCCACCCGGCATTTTCAGCAGAAACTAACAGCAACTGCATGAGACACAGCAGCTCTGACATATCTTCCACATCCACTAAACTGGTAATGTGTTTCTCTTTAGCACAGCTCTCTCAACATTTTCACATTACTTGCCTATGTATGTGTTTTAGGACCCCAAATGTGTGTTTCTTAAGGTCTCTTATTATCTACTTAAGTGCTATATGTGATTAATGTAGGTTTTGTATCACTCACTATTAAACACCCCACTTTCCCCTTTTGGCAATTATTGGGTTTTATCTTGAGTCATCGCTGTAGGTTTATGATCAGCACAACAGAGTTACAGAGTTGTTAGATTTCATCTGTATTATATCATAATGGCTGGTGTGATGTGTTTGTCACATGCTTGCTTTACTCTGATTTCCCACCCAAAAAAATTTCCCTGGTTCCTTAAAAGTTTTCTTTTAAATATAAAAACATTTTAGAAGCACTCATACACAGTTTTAAAAGTTACTGTAATGTCGTCAGTGTCTTGATTTCTTTTTATTCCTGTTAGCAATTAATACTGCTAATAATTCACATAAATTGAGTCTGTGTGTGTGTGTGTGTGTGTGTGTGTGTGTGTGTGTGTGTGTGTGTGTGTGTCAAAGGTTTAAAATGAAACAAGACAAACCTGAATTTTCCTTTAAACTACCTCTTTATAGGCCATTATGTGTGGTCATGAAGTCCATGTTTCGTGTTTTCCCTGTGGTTATCGTAGGACGGTGGAATAAAGACTAAAGAAAGCAGTGGCAGTCTTCAGCAGGACAAACAAATAAACAGTTCTGACACCCCAGCACAGCCAGCAACCACACAGGTCTGTTGAACCTCCTACATCCTATGTTTTTTGGTTAATTTAAAGTTTTCTTTAGTGTGTATTTTCAGCAGCATACATGTCTAATCTAAAATGTCAGTTTACAAATGTCTACTGATTTACCGTTTGGATAAAAAAAAAAAAGGTTTTCTTTATAGCTAAATTTCTGTATATTGGCTTTCATGTTTAACTACCACTAGATGGTGCCAGATTCACCTCTTAAAGATGTTAGAAGATGTTAATAAAGGTGTAGCCATGCAGCTGTTTTTTTTATATGGATGTCATAGTTAATTCTGTTATGTAAGATTAATATGAGTCTTATGCCTGCAGTCTCATGCTCTTGTTAAACTCTCCACACAGCCGAGTGCAAAGCAGCGTAGGCCTACAGACAAGAAGGACCTCAGTTCAGGACAGAAACAATCCCCCAAACCCAAGTAAGGCAGACGACCAGAGACTTTCTACCCCCAGTAAAGTACAACTGGTCCCTGCAAACCACCAGCTAGCTCCAAGACTGAAAACCATTTAGAATAAAACTAAAAAAATGAGCCATATCCCATTATAAAACATGAAGAGAGAGAAAAACAAAAACAAACCTGGCCTTTTGTGGCTGTGTTGGACATACATTTATTGTTTTGTTTTTCATTCTGTTATTTAATTGAGATCTCTTATTTAACAGTAATGTGAATGTAAATACTAGGAATGGTGCAGCCTTTTTGTGATGGCCGGACACTAAGCAGCAAACACAGTGTCACATAACTGTGAAAATAGTACAAAGAGGCCGAAAACCACTGCAGCTGATTCAGCTTCAGTTTCAGCTTCAGGACTGCCGTGTGCCAAAAGAAAGAGACTCCGTCTGAGATAATCTCCCACATGGGGAGAAACTCCTGGAGAAATTATTTGTATTAATTAAATAGCCAATTGTTTTAGAACATCAAACAGCTAACATAAAGACTCATGCATTTCTATAGTTGCTGCCAAATGTGGAGCCTGAATGAGTCTGATGTGTAACACTGATACTTTTAGCTTACAGCAACAACAAGGTTAGGTAAGATTTTGATGTTTTATCTTGACATCTCTCTCTTCCCTAAGTCTTCATTTTAGTTGTTGTAAACTAGGTATAAATTTTTGTCTTTTTTTTTTTTTTTTAATTTGTCACTTTTCTTTTAGGTTAGTTGCTTTATAAATAGGAGAGAAAACACTCGTGCAGATTACTGGATATTATTTAAAAAACAACAAACAAAAAAAAGAGTGAGCAATAGGGATTTTCTTTCTTTCTGTTCTGACCTCTCAATTCCAAAACGTCCGATATGCAGTGACTGCACCCTCTCAGTGTCAAAACAGAAAAACTGTCACACAGGCTGGTTACGCTCCATCTGAATGCAGAGGATTGGGACTGGGGGCAGCCACGGGTCTAATCTCGTTTGGAGGCCATTGAAAGCAGTAGGAGCTACTTTGAGGGCACTGCCATTCAAGCACAGGTTTTTCCGCTGCAGAGAGAATAATCCCCAGCATAGATACAACATTAAAGTATCCAAGCATAACACACAGAGGGTGAATTTCAAATCCACCCATTTGCATCTTGAAGTGAATGAGTGCCAACAATGGGGCCCCGTTTTCATGCACAGGCTCTGTGTTTTAGTGTGTATGTGTAAATGTAGTTTGCACTTTTTCTTGAATGAGTGGACTCTTTTTTTTTTTAAGTCAAATTTTATCCAGGCAGACATTCTACAGTAATCTCAGGTGATGTTCCCTAACATAGTGAGTAGATATGCAAATGAGATGTGAATTATTTTTGATTAAAGCTGCTTGCCAAAAGGACTGGGTGATTCCTGAAAACATGATTTTTGTTTACTCACTGCTTTGAACAGCAGATGGTAGCTGGTAGTGAGTTGTTGAATTGATTCTGAAATAATTCCCTGAAGTTAATCTGACACAGGGTGTCGTCCCTGAAGCTACCTAGTTTTGTGCATGAAGCTCTGTAATTAGAATTGATTGCTTGAGCCACTGCCCATTAAAACTGTGACACCCATGTGATGTGGCACTAATTAATATGTTGTATGCTTATATCTGCGTGGTCCATAGAGGAAAAATAAATAAAATGTTCAGACATACTTCCTTTTGGGTTCTGCCTTATGATTGTGGTGATAAGTTGAGAAAAAGAGGACAGCAGTGGGGTGTGGATATTTGACGTACAGCAAGATATAGGAGTGCTTATATGTGTCTCTGGTTGGGACAAATTCTAACAGAGTGAAACTCATGAAGGACACATGGAAGAGTCATAACTATGTTGCTAAAGTCAGATGTTGTTAAAACACTGTCATGGTGTTTCAAGCAAACAGCAGCCTCCAGTTTCACTCCTTTTGCCAAAACAACAGAGCACAGAGGTGGGAGAGGAGGGGAAAGAATGAGAGGCTGTATGGTGGATAGGTTAGGGGCGTGAATTTGGGACAAAGCATGGAAGCAAAGGAAATTAGAAAATTCGTCGGGATGGAACGAGGGATGCGCCCCATGCCCCCCCTCATTCCCTCCAATCCTCCCCCACCCCTTTTCCCTCCAGCAGTGCTCCCGACAGATGGAAGTAAGAGTGGGTGGGTTGATGGGCTGGAGGGATTAAAACTCTGAAGCCCCATTTTTTTGGGGGGGGAAACAGTGTCACTCCTGCAAAGGTGGGGTGCATAAGAGGCACTTGTGGCGAGTAGTTGTGTGACGTGTGCACGCTGGCTAATGTCAAAAGAGGCAAGGATTCTTCAAAAACCCCTCCCCACCCCCTTCTTCATCCACCTTTCTCCATTGAGGAGTGTAGAGGGAGTTGCTCCAGGAGAGGAGGGGAGGGTTCATTTCAATAACCTTAATAGAGCTCCCTTTAATTAATCAGCTCATCTGCAGAAGCCCGATACCTGCTGCTGACCCCCCCCACTCCCCAACACACACACACACACACATACCCTTCCATCCTCACCCCAACCCAACATCCTCACAATGCTGCTATGACATTGTGGTAATGAGGGAACACAGCTACAATGTCATGGAAATGTTGCAGAGACGTTATCTGCGGGAGCTCATCACACATGCCGATGTTCTCGATCCCCTTCAGTGTTTGCGATGTGTGCGGAGATGCGGCTGTATTACACCGCAGCGTACCTCCCCTCGTAAAATAACAGATACATATGGCCCGGATGGCGGGAGGATGCCATGATGCCTCTATTTCCACAGAAGAAGAGGGGAGGGAAGTGCCGGCGTCAAGTAAACATTTGAAACAGATGGCAATTTCAAAGCATGCCTCATCAATCTTTGTTGACACTACCCCCTTTTTAAAACTACTCTTATTTGGGATATTTGCAATTATAATGCATACTGTAAGCTCATTTGAATATCAAATTAATTACTGAACACACTGGAGTAAATACCTCTTTTATAAGTCCTTGTTAAAAGTGAAAAGTTCTTCACTACGGTTGGATGGTGTGTTAATTTACAGTGATATCTAATCCCAAGTTACTTCACATAAAAGGCATTACTATACATATTTTAATGGGGAGGTGGTTGTTTTCCAAGCAATTTTCTGCTAGAGTACATTTTTAATTTATTCATATTTAATTTATTGGTCTCTGCATAACCGCTCAGTAAAACTAATCAATGCCATGTATGGCCCTCTTAAAGCCACATCTCTCTTTGGCAGGCAGACAGGCAAGCCTCTGCATTTGGATAAGCTCCCTTCTCTTGTGCACAGAGCTCGGTGAAATGCCCCGCATTCAGTCAAGCAGGCGGATGCCACCTCCAAGGAGACTCTTGGGTTCTCACAAACAACCTTTTAATCAGAAGGAAAAAAAGAGTGGAAAATGAAATATGTGCCCAGCCTTGAATGATCCAAAACACTGCAATTTCTGTGGATAGTGACCATCGTCTGCTGTCAGAATACAGTCCGCTGGGGACAATGCCTTTTCCCCTCTCTTTCTGTTACTTGTTGCCCTCAAACTCATCTGCCCTTGAATTGGTTTTATGGAGCTTTGGCAGTCATTTAGCACAGTATGACTGGAGTTCTTATCACCTGACTCCACTATACACTCCAAATATCTATCGACCCATTGACACACCTTGAGGAGGGATTCACACAACCTAACACATGGAAATGATTTCAATTAATTACCATTCCCCTTTGACAAGGCAGATGGG